TACCGTATAATCTAGGAATGAAAGGCCGCCATGGCAACAGTGTCGTTTAACGCATACCAAGGGCACTATTCGAACCAACGCCACTAAAGTCAATATTGGTCACAATAACCTGAGCTGTGAACAATGATGATACTGCAGGTGCAACGGGCCGCTTCGATTGCATACTGCGGAGGTAGCGGCAACAACGGCGGGGGTGGCGGCGGCAAGGAAGTGGCAGGACACTTTTGGGGACATATGCTCCTGTCCTCTTCCTTAGATAGCCTTGAACAAAGAGTGTCGTGAGGTTAGAGGCTTTGACAACATGGTTGAGACGCTACTGTGGCAACGCACACTCCGCGGGAGTTGAAGAGCGTGTTTCGTAGAAAGCTTGGTGTTCTTCCAAAAGATTTGCGGGTGTCTCAGGTCGCCTGCTGATTGATTTGCTATTCTTGAGGGCGGGTTGCCATTCTCCACGGATCCTCTGTGGGGAGCCCTCGTTTGCATTGACGATGGATCCTCGTGCCCTCCGCACATTGGGGATGGGCATAAGATTTTGGTTGTATACTTCTGCTGCAAATTAGGTCAGCCTGCCGCGGGTGTCAAGTGACAAGTAGTCAGAAACATTGAAAAATGTTCGATGTGCTGCAAATGGTGACGCCACGAAGCATTTCGTGTGGCAGGATCCTTGCGCTCTGCACTTTCTTTATCTCATGTTGCATTGGCACACAGACACCGATGTTGCTCTGCAGAATTATTCACAAAAAGCGAGATTGCTCTTGAGCCTTGCCCTGTTTATATTCACCAGAGGACTGCTCTTGTTTCCATTTCGCCTTCTGAGCAACATTTTAGAGGACTTGCACCAAAACGAGAGATTGGGTTTGGAGTGCGGGAGCATTGGGATTGGGATGCTGAGGAAGGAAACTAGTGGACAGTGTATATTCTTGTTGAAATTGTTTTGCCTGATGGCTGGCAGCATCGGGGCGCAGGATTGAAACTGGGGGGGGGAGAAACTGTAACGAGCACATCTGCTCCAATTGCTGTTGACAACCGGGAACGACACGTGCGTTTCACTCCCATTTCCCGAGGACAATGCACTGTTTCGAGATTTCCCAAAGGAAGTCTGCGGGAAGGCGTGCCCGTGCCTCCGGATTGCAGCACAACGCCCTCAAGATCCTCATTGATGGAATAGACATCCTTTGAGCTGATCGTTTCCACCGCATCCAACACAAACTTTGGCACCTGATGTTTAAAAGTTGATGCCTGAGCAAATATCTTGATTTCTAAAATATTGATTAGCGCTTAAGAAGAAATACAACTGTGTGTTTCTCGCAGTCCCGCATTCCTGGAAGCAACCAGAAAGATGTGGAAATGTCCAAAAGATTGTGTTCCATTGGATGAGAGGTCGTGGTCGCAGCAGGCACGGAATTCTACTATATGTGGCTCCGCAGCAACAACATCGGCTGGATAACAGCATAGGGAGACTGCAGAAATACCTTGTACGGTGTTGCGCATTCACACCATGCGTTCAGCAATTGTACAAATGATGTCGTTGCATCATTTTTTACAGCATGGAACATAGCCCCTCCATTCACTGCCTAAGAAAGGGTTGTCCATTGTGTACCTTGGTCCTTCTTTATTGAACAACACAGAATGTTAGCAGGAATCGCCTTCGTTGCAAATTGGGCGGAGCACATGTGGAAACGATTATGGCCCACACAACAAACCAGTCTGTTGCTTTAGCGCTTGTCACCCATCCGCTCCCAAAGACTTACAAATCCTCATACACATAAGAACACACAAATAAGGAATTTCCTATTTCGTTTAAACGTCGCCTGGCCCAAATTTTATAAAATAACTGTTTGCGCGTCAGCTGGGTATTCTCATTTCAGAGCCAGCTGGCTATTGTCCATTGGGCATTGTCAACATCGTGATGCATGTCGAAGGTTATTCTGCTGGGCAGGGGTTCCTGCTAATGTACTTGTGCGGCTGCCTTCTCTTTTCCTCCTCCGCACATAATAAGTGCTTTGGAGTTGCAGGGGTGCAAGATGCAAATTGCCGCAGGCAATTCAGCCGAACACAAGAACACAGTATTAGGCACACGAGCCCGCTACTCCGACTAGTTGTCCACGGGGTTGGCTGTCCGGTAGTGGCGGTCTGGGAAAGAGCTGGAGGCAACAGACGGATTCTAAACCAGGACGTCCCCTTTTACGGCGACACAAGTAGGTGGCCCGTTTCCACATTGGCCCCCGATGAAATGCTCTCATCGGGGGCTCAACGTGGTTTTGGGTTTGGCGGTCTGGCAGCCAAGCCACCTTGGCCAGGCCATCCACTGAGTCATGCCATGATTATGTCACCACAGCGTGGGCTCTTGGGCATGGGCTGCTCTCGCATTACCACCCCGCCTTCCCCACAGTTGCAGTCCAGCACCCGAAGAACATCACCATATGGCAGCTGTCGCCCCTCCGCATACCGAGTCTTAGACAAAGGCGGCGCCGGGCCAGAGGCGGAGCTCCTCTTCTGTCACCGACCAGGCGACGCCGTCATGGACGCAGATGGCTCCCCCGTGCTCGAGCCCCTGCTGGGAGGCCGCGGATCGCAACGTCCCAAAAAGCGCGGGTGTTTCAGAAGCGCATGGGGATCTGCGGCGAAATTCTGGCTGGCGACGTGGGAATTCTTTACATTCAGCTGGATCAACCCTGTGCTGAGGTTGGGAGCGAAAAAGGCACTGACGACCGACAGCGCCCTGCCGCTTTTGCCGGAAGGCGAGAAGATGGCCGCATTGGCGCCCAAATTCGATCAAGCGTACCAACGGCGCAAAGTGAGGATCTTCTTCCATTGCATTTTCAAAAATCTGTCGCCCACAATACCAAAAATACGATGCAGTACGATTTTACCCATCCTTGATTCTCCACAAATTTTTGGTGCTGCAATGCTGCCTCCATTCCTCCTTGCAGATCTCTCAGTCGCGGGCGGGGCCGACTCCGCCCCAACGGCTGTGAAACTTCCCGATTTGGAACGTGGCGTGGGATTCCAGCCACATACCGGAAATTACACCCTGCTGTGAACGATTCTGTTTTAGGATATTTTCTACCATTGCCAACAGCAGTTCCGTCTCAAGTTGTAAGAAAGGGGATATGGGCTCGCGGCCTGCTGGGTCGCAGAATCACGTTAAATGTGGTGGCATCGCTTTGATTGGCTCCTCCCTTGTCCCGCGTCTAGCGACAATGGGTGTACTGCACTCTTCACATCCTGTGCAAACGAATTCTTGGAGGTTGCGGATACCAAGAAAAAAAACGAAGTTTATACCCGATTGGAGCTGATTTCTGTAACTCGGGACCTGCGACGCCAAGCGCTGTTCATGAATCCAAGCACCGTACTCTGTCAGAGACATATTTTTCGATTTCGGTGCCAGCAATAAGAGATATGCCATTTCACAATTGTTGCTGTCTTTGCAAGATCTCCTTGCCCTGCATGCTTCTTGGGTGAATTCCAAAATAGGGCACAGGAATAGCCAGCAGACAATGTGCTCTCTGAAACAAACTGCTCTCTGAATGAGAAATGCAGGCCATCCTGGGTAATGGTTGTGATGTATCACTTACATGTTTGAGGCTGTCATATGCTTTTATGACTCACAGCTATTGTGCCACACAGTTTTCCTGTGATTGATCTGCAACTGCAACTGGATGTCAACAGCTGCATTCCATATCATGGCGTGTATGGGCAACACATAATGTTCCACTATTGGCACGCAGTCTTTGCTCTTGGGGCCTTACCTGTAGTTCATGATGCTGCTTCCTCAGATTTTGAACTTTGTGTTGTCCACGAACTGCAGATTTTGAGTCTTGATTGCCATCGCTGCAGCCTGTCTTTCTGCTAGTGTTTGCATTGTGTAACACTGTGCATATGCGGTGATTAGAATGGCCCTGTAAGACATCGCTTGGCTTGTGTATTCATTTGTAAGGCTACCATCTCTGGCGATCCAGAAACTATGCCTGGCATGCTGCTCAGCGTCCTTCTGTGCACTCACTGGCTGGCCTTGGCGCAACAAATGGGCTGGATCGTTGGGAAAACAACAGCAAGGTGGGCCGTGTCCAACTGGGCAGAGGTGTCCGAAGTGCAGCTGCTACAATGTTCTGTGCAAATTGCAAGCACATGATACTTGATGTGACATGTGTATTCCAGTTTTTACATGATGAACCTTGCTCAGGGGATGTTTGTGATATTAGCATGTGCTGGATCGTCACACCACTAATTGGTGTGTGCTCTGTTGAGTTATTTGCATTTTCTTGCTGGGTGGAAGGAGCTCAGAAAGCAATCTTCATGGGTTGGCTTGCCATTGCATATACCATGGCATATTTTCATGATGGTTTGTTCTGTTGTCTCAGATTGATGTCACCGTTCTTTTTGCGTGCATTTCTGCTGTGGCTAGAAAATGGAGACGGATCAGATGGTACATCAGGCTCGGGACAGTGGAATGGAGTGGTGTTTGGGGTGGCATTGGTGACAGCCTCTGCTGTTGATGGGCTCATGTTTCATCAGCTGTGGTGGTGAGTTGGCACCCCAAGTGGCAGGCTGGCCAAAGTGTGTACTAACATTGTTTGGCAAGCTGCACCCTATGCTGGAATTCTGTTGAGTAGTTGTCCCATGAGAGCCTCAATTGCAAGTGATCTACATGTGCCATGGAAGTACAACGTACCTGCAAAGTTTCCAGACATGGACCTCACTGCATAAGTATGTGGCCGTTAGTTTGGAGTATTGATGCAAAAGGTGGTGAACAGTGCTGCAAAAGCATTTCATTGAGTTTTTAGAAGCACAGCAAAGGAGATTTTCTCTGGCTGTGCACTCAGCAACTCTTTCTTGTGCTGTGTTGGTTGATGACGCAGATGCACTTGCTGTGCTCCAGGATTGGCTGGAAACTGGGTTTTCGTATGCGGCAGCAGTGCATGGCTTCCATCCATGCCAAAGTTATGCGCCTCAACAGCTCAACGATCACAAGAGTGAGCACAGGGCGGGTCGTGAATCTTGTCAGCAACGATATTGGTCGATTTGATTTCACAGCCATTCTGTGGCAGTACTCATGGCTGGGCCCTTTGGAGCTGGTGATCGTTTTGGTGTTGGTGGGGTTGGAGGTTGGGTTCCTGCCAGCCGTGTGTGGAGTGGGAGCCTTTGCTTTGATGATACCTATGCAGGTATGAATCGGTTGATTGGGGATTCAGGCAGTTCCGTGATCCTTCCCCCACAGTCAATGGCTCAGTCAACGTAGGCCATGGGTGGATGGGCAGTTAGCAATGTGTATGGCATTGTGCGGTGAGACGGAATCAAAGAGTTGAAGCAATTCTTGGCAAACTCTACTTTTCATTGGTTTGCTATGTACATGTGTGTGAGGCTCTTGCTTTTGCTGTATCATAAGTAATTTTTGAGACACCTGGAAACTGCTAAAAGCGAAATGAATATGGAATGTCGAACTGGGTGGGGCAATTAATCTGCCACTCTCTCCTAGTATTGTACTGTTTTAGAACCTAAACTGATCAAGAAAAATAGTACCAGTACTAATGTTGAACTGGATAACTCCGGTTTGGGATCTTGGTAGGATATGTTTGAGATGGATGCGCTGCGAGACTGCGCATGGAAGCAAGTGAAACCATACGATTGAGTCAAATGGGGTGGGTCCATGGGGTGGAATGTCCTGAACTGTGGATTTGGTTGGATTGGGACATGTTGGTGGCGGAAGTTAGCTGTCCGTGGCACTTTCTCTTTGCAATAGTGTTTCATGGGCATTTCATTCACATGCCATCTATTTTTGGTGCACCAGACTACTTAAGGTGGGTTCCATGCTGCTGGCTGCTGCAGGCTGTTTTCGGCAGGTGCCTCGGAAAACTGAGGAGCAAGTCAACTGCCCTCACTGACAAGCGCATAACCCTCATCGGCGAGGTGATCTCTGGCACCCTTGCAGTGAAAATGCTGGGATTGGAGGATCCTTTCTTCAGGAAGATCAGGGAGGTGCGGTCGCAGGAGGGAAACATCCTGTGCCGGAGGGGCATGTTCATCGGTGCTAACGAAGGGATGCACTTCTTCACCACTACACTGGCAGGCTTTGTGACTTTTGCGGTGATGTGGGCTCTTGGGAGAACCCTCAGAGTGTCCAGCGTCTTTTTCACCTTGTCGCTGCTTTACCTGCCAGACCTGGACATGGCGATATTCTTCTCTCTGAGTGAGTGCAGTCTGGGGTATTGTCATGTCAGGGTGATGATGGACACGCCAGTTGTCTGAATCTGTTTTGGGTTTTTACCCATGCAATTGGTTGTCTTTCAGCCAGATTGGCATGTTCCGGCAATGATATTGGACCCCACATCAACTGTAAAAGTGCGCACCTGCCCATTTGTGTGCGAATTGTGCAGATTTGCCTGCCTGTCTTGTGGCCTTTTGCTTAATCTCTTATTATTTCGACAGAAATAGTATGTCGTTCAGTCATGGTTGGGAAATTGACCTGAATGTCCATGATGTGCCCAAGCACATGTTTCCATGGGTGGAGTGCTGGCGCAATGTCAGTTGGATGTGGTGGCTTACTGCCGCAATTCTTGGTGGTTTCCAAAGTTTTGGATACTGCCTCTTGCTTTGCTGCATTCCTCACTTCATGGGACCTTGCTTGCACTGTAGGTATCGAGAGGTGCAGTGAGCTTTGGATATCATTGGTGCGTATCAGTCGATTCCTTTGTCTCCCGGAGCCTTCTGAAATGATCCAACAGACTGACATACCTGTCGGAGCCATCAAGATCGATGGCGTGGACTTCTCCTGGCCATCTAATTCTGCAGAGGAAGGCCAAGAACAGAGAAGCCAGCTTGAGGAGGGCAACAGAGGATTCAAAGATCCATCGGTGAGACTTGACTTGGCAACCAAAAGGGTCAGAAAGAAATTTGACAGCTACGCAACAAAAAATCAGTGTGGGTTGTGGATTCGTTATGTTGCTTTGATGTTGGCGAATGCTGCAGGTTATGAAAGATCTTTGCTTGTAGCTGACTGCAAAATGATGTTGGCAGCACAGTTGTTGAAGTGTGTGTGCTGGGAGTGCTATGTGTGCTGGGGTGCAGCGTCCTTGGCTGTTTGGAAAGTCACCTTGATTATTATTGTGCCCACTACATAAAATTTGTCATGAGGCCAAGCCAAAAGGCGAAACTTCTGTGCACAGCTCATCACTTGGTGTCGAGTGGTGAGATTTCCTGTACTTATTGCTACCGCTGGTAGCGCTGGTGGCAGTGGGATCTCACCCTTAGTGCCTCAGAAGAGAAGCACACATGCAGCATATATATGAGGATCGGCAGCTGCGTACTGAAAGCCCTATTCCCTGCCCTGGCAGGAGGATTCGTTGGGCTCCTTTTCGGGGGTGTCAATGAACACCGAGACTCCCACTCTGCGACAAGTACGACTGTCAGTATGTCCTGGTGAACTCATAGGAATAGCAGGTGCAGTGGGTGCCGGGAAGAGTTCGTTGTTGGCTGCCCTCCTGGGAGAGATGCAAGATGGAGCGGGAGGTATGTGGGTATGAGCTGAATGAGAGCAGTTAATGCACAGCAGCTGTGTTGGAAATCGGTTTTGCAGGAAGGGATTGCTTTCGAATGGCAGGTGTGAGGGCAGTTACTATATGGCAGTTGTGTTGGGAGAACGTTTTGCAGGAACGAATTACTTTCAAATGGCAGGTTTGAGAACTTGACTGTGCCTGTTGAAGCTATGGTGCAGTATGTGGTTCATGGAGGAAGAGATGCGATGGTTCTGACGTTTGCGTTCACTGTGCAGGATCTGGACGGGCAGAACTAGCAGGTTCTGTGGCATTTTGCGACCAGGCAAGTGGCTGTCAGTAAGTGCTTGCTTGTGCCACTGTGCTCAACCATGGCGGTGTGAGGGGACTGACCTCGCAGCGCCTTTCCGGCGTGGCCCTGAAGGTTGCAGGCAATGCTACTATGGTTCCAGATTGAAATCGTTGCCTACAGTTGCGTGTGCTCCAGATTGATCATAAGCCGCCTTGTCTCTCTGATGACCGTTTTTAATGGCTGCCTGTGAATAAATTGCGCCAGCCTTGCCCTCACGCAGGCATAGGTGAGGACACCATCAGTTCGACAAGGTTGTTCTCGCTCTCATGTGGAGCCTGGCTTATTTGGCTCCAAGAACAAGTGCTGTTTGGGTTGCTAATCTGCCACATGAGCACAAACCGGCTCAAGCACAGCTCCCGACGTTGACAGGGACTCTTGGCCCGCATAGATTGTGGCACTTGCCTTTCTTGTGGATTCAAAGTGCACAAGCAATTGCCCATTGAGCATTCTCAAAGAGGACTTACCAGAAATGCAAATGGGGCTGTGCAATATTTCATCAAGGATCTCGCTGTGCACTTCCAACCAAAGCTAGTGAGACTGTGAAGTCAGTCCTGACATGTGTTTAAGCAGGCTTTCTGTGTTGTAGTGAAAATTTTGTGGCTTGGCATCGTCTGTGGTCACTTCTCCTTTGCGTGCTTCTTTGCCTGTGTGATCCCCTGCATGTTGTTTGCTCAGGTACCATGGATCCTGGCTGGAACAGTTCGAGAGAACATCCTGTTTGGAGCGACATTCAATGAAGCAGACTTTTGGAATGTTGTGGATGCCTGCTGCCTGTCGCCAGACTTCCAACAGCTTCCTGCAAGAGAGATGACGCAGCTTGGCGACCAGGGAGTGAACCTGTCAGGTGGGTCGCTCAGTGGTGCCCATAAGCCCTTCATTTTCTTTCTCGCCAATCTGGGGCCCTCGGGAATTTACGATTCTGTCAGCATAACTGATTGCCACGATTTGGGAAGACGAAGCCAGGAGCCAATTTGATGTCCAAGGTCGTTGCCATTCTGTGCTTTGGTGATTCATCTCACTTGACAAAGGCAGTTCGCACTTTTAAGTGACAGCAGCAATGGGTCTGTTCGCATTCATATTTGACATGCTAGCCATACTCAATGAGCAGGTCCACACCTGTGAGTCCTGTGGGTATTAGGAAGGCCACACAACAAGCCACTCCTATGCAAGCATATTTGCGACTCTGCTGCACAGTGCAATAGATTGTGTGAGTTGTTCTGTCGCGTTTGTTAGAGTGAGGAAGCACTGTCATTGCACCTTCCTGGTGATAATGGGTGTATTACAGTTCAGAATTTCGGAACACGGGGAAGCAGACATGCTACAGCGAACAATGGACAGCACAAAAGACACAGGTCCAAGGCATGGATTCTTGATCTGCACATCTGGCACGCTGTGCTCACTTGCACCAGCCAGCTTGATGTTGGTTTTTCAGCACAGGCCAACATTTGAGTGTTGGACTTTGAACATCGCTTCAGACCTCAGCCACTCTGAAGCAGCAATGCGTTCTGTAGGCGGGCAAAAGGCGCGTGTCGCACTTGCCAGAGCTGCATACTCAAGGGCTGACATTCAGCTTTTGGATGACCCCTTGAGTGCCGTGGACCCCCACGTGGCACAGGAACTGTTTGACAAGTGCATTGGCCCTGGCGGGCTAATGGAGGGCTCCACCAGACTGCTTGTTACACACCAGAGGCAGTTTCTCCCACTATGTGACAGAGTGATCGTCCTGAGGTGTGGGGAGATAGTGGCAAATGGTCCTTGGAGGGATCTTCAGAATCAGGGCTTTGATGAGTTGAAGAGCACAACAGACCTACAGCAGTTAGCCCACCCTCAGAGAACCCTGAGCATCGAGGTGCGTGTAATGTTGTGAACGGTCCTGATAATGGCAGCATCGTTGGTGAACATTTGTGGCAATAACAATCGGGTAGTTTGTTCGACAGTTGGGTAGGAATACTGGTGGATAATGGTAGCCTAGCGTTGGCAGGTCGTTCTGATTTAGTTCACACAATAGCGCGGACCTGTTTAAGGTTGTTTGAGGTAAGTTTAGGCCTGTTTAGTTCAGGGACAAGTCTCCAACCTCACACCTACACTGCTGGGATGGGAGCCGCCAGTTAGTTTGCAATCCTATGGACATTGGACGAGTGTGATGTGTGATACCCATTGAGATGCGGTTTGGGTAGCGCAAGCACTGTATGACCAGGTTGATACGAATTGTTGGCCTTGTTTGCCGACTTGGTAAGGAGAAGGTACCAATAAAAAGTTCTTAATGCTGCCCTGCGGCAGGCTTTCTGTAGATTGCATGCAGAATTCTTCTGCTACAATGCGACAAGAAACAGCCGATTACTAGAAAAGCAAGTGAGATACTTGCTTCAGACAACTGGATTCAGATGATACGTTTTGCCTAATTAATTTTGCCAGTGCGCACCAGTGCAGTGTCAGGAGAGTTGCTGTGGAATGGAAAGGGACAATGGATTGGCAAAATCTGTACTGATTTAAACAGGAAACACTTGAGAGCGTGGGGGGTGACATGGAGACGGATGGCAATAATGGCAGGGCAAGAATACCTGGAAATGGGGACCAAAGGGAGTCCATGGATGACAGACAAGACAGTGAAAAGTGCCAAGAAAGGGCGGAGAGCGCTGCCGGCAAAGCTGGAGACGTCCACATGAACAAAGACGAGCCTGCAAAAGATTCCGTAAAGAGCGGTGGGTGAAACTACAGCCTAACATGAGCCTGCAACACACTTGGAATTATTTAGATACTGCACTCTGTGATTCACCTTATGGGGCTTTGTCATATTATCTCTAGTGTTCCATGATCCCTCTGCAGTGGGACCTGCGGTGAGTGTCACATTTTGCATGTGCTGGTGGTGTTGTAATTGTAGATCTGAGTTGACCATTCAGCCAAGATTTGTGGTGCAGCCTACAGCATAGATGTGCAAAATGTGTGCATGTTCTTTGATTACGTGTGTCAAGCAATGGCCATTGCACCTGCCAGATGATGACAGGCACGATTCCATCCTCATGTTTTCAGTTGTTTTAGCTCTACTCTCAGAGAAGACACAACGTTGGAATGTTGCTGTTCGTGCACTGCACAAAATGAGTCTGTTCTTCGATTGGTGGCAGGGACTCTTGTCGTCGAAGAGGATCAAGAGGTCGGGGTCGTGTCTTGGTCTGTGTACTGGCGTTTTGTGGTTCACATCGGGGTGGCGCTTACGGCCATCTACGTCCTCATTGTTGCCTTCAAAGAAATTTTGTATCTAGCACCCAACTTGCTGCTCACACGTTGGGCTTCAGTCGATGCAGAAGATCAGAGGGACAGCAGGTATGCAGGGCCATTCATGGCTCAGAAAATGGTCTGGCGAAACGTCCTTCATGCGTGGGGCGAGTGGCCTTCGGTCGTGCTTCCTTGTGGTGCTGGCCCATGATAGGCAATCTGGAAACCCACCTGCAGTCCCCTCCTGTGCCATACCTTTCTTCGTGAAGATATTTTAACCACCCTTTCTTGCTGTTGATGCATGATACTTCACATGTTGAAAACGTGTTGTTCTTTGCCCCAGGGGTCGTCAATAATCAACATGCTTATGCTGCAGGAGAAAGGGGCAATTGCACAGAGTTGTTACTGTGCAGATGAATTGTCACAATGTAATAGTTTCCTTTAGCCATAGCATGGATTTGAGTTACTCAGCATTGCTCGAGGTACGACGGCCAGTTGTGCAGCTTTTCCCTCCTCTGTTGAATTGGTTATCTTCGCTGCGCGCTGCAGGTGGGTGGTCACCTATGGTGCCCTTGTCGCCAGCATGATGGCTGTTGGGCTGTTTGTCGGACTTACGGAGTTCGTGGCCCAAGTACATGCAAGCACCAGGCTGCACAACGCCATGGCCGCGCGGGTCTTGCGTGCACCACTCAGTTTCTTTCACACAAACCCGGTTGGAAGAGTGCTCAATCGATTCTCAAAAGACCAGGACCTGGTGGATGAAGAGCTGCCCATCACGGTGAGCGACATCGTGGCCATTACAATGGAAGCCATCGGTTCTCTTGTGCTGGTGGCTGCAGCGGTGCCCCCCGTGGCAGTGGTGGAGGGCCTTGTCCTGATTGGGTTTTGGCGCCTTCGGAAACATTACATCATGACAGCTCGGGAAGCCCAGAGAGAGGTCGCCGTGACAAGTTCTCCCATATTTGCCGCGTTCTCAGAAACGCTCAAGGTGAGGTTGACAGCATTCAGCGTTGCATTCCGCCCTTTGTTGGCAATGGATGGAACCGGGTTTCTCAATACTTCCTCCGTCCCATATTAATTGGCGTCTGTTGAGAGAGAAATCTCGTTATGCAAACAGCATCTAAATTACAAATGAAGGCCAGAATCGGAAAGATTGGGTCTCAGAAGCCTCAAATTCGAATTTTCAAGAAAGAACATTTAGTCCACACCCCTGTGAGCTACATAACCCCCCCCCCAAAAAAAAAAAAAAAAACTGACACGGTCCAAAAACGTGCGCTCACTTTCCGCAGTCTTGCAGATGTATGTATCACACGGGGACTGTGCCGCCACCAACAGTTTGGGGCGAAATCTGCTGTCTGGACAGTGTGTAAAAGGAGACAATAGCAACATTCATGCAATTGTATTCATTCTAGTGAATTGTGCATATGCTGGAAGACGAAGTCAACGCCTAGTACCTGCCACAGTGAAGAATTTGCTGCTTTCTTACACAACGTTGTAACTGCAGGCATGTGAAAAACAGGTGTTGCAGCCAGGCTCTGTCTGCGTTTCAATAGGGACTTGGGGCGATTTAGCGACTCCTCGTGTTGTTGAATTGTTGCAGTAGCAGCGTGTTCGCTTGGCAGGAATCGTTGTTTGTTGTGCAGGGTCTGTCCACAATCCGAGCATATGGGCTGAAGAACCAATTCGAGGCCACGTTCATGGGTCTCAACGACCACAATGGGTCTTGGTGGTATACAAAGATGGCAGCCAATCGATGGTTGGGCGTACGACTTGACATGAGCAGCACACTGGTGCTTGCGGCTGCTGTGTCATTCACCCTGGCAACCAGAGAAAAGGTATGCCCACCCCATGCTCACAAAACACATATCAATTAAAGCGCCAGTGGTGTACCTTCTGGAGTCCAATGTCCATGATTGCATACGAATTGCAGTTTGAGTTGCGCTTGGGGCAACCTTGCTTTTTGATTGCTGCCCCGTGTAGTTGCCCTCCACTCCAACTTTCACATGTTTGTATGATCTCGCACTACTCTTGACCTTGGCCCCTTTGGTAGCCAGCAATGGGCAGCAAGAGGGCAGCTATTTGATGGCTTCACATGCCCTGGCACAGAATTTGTTCTTGCCTGAATTCTTTTTGAGCTTTCTCTGCAACTTCACAGGTCGATCCCGGACTGCTTGGGCTAGCTCTCACCTATGTGCTGCAACTGACTGGCATTCTACAGTACCTCGTCAGTCAAACAGCCACACTTGAAACCGAAATGACATCTGTTGAACGGATGCTGCATTACACCACACTCGATCAAGAGCCTCCAAGGTGTGCTACATCTGCAGACAACAAATGGCTATGTGCCAGGGTCCAAGCTGTCTACTTGTCAATCTTCACACTGGCTTGTGGTATCATGGGTCACATGGCTGATCATTATTTGTTCCTCTGGTGTGGCACAAGGTGCCATTCGGGCACAAGTTGCAGGGTGTTGAATATACTAGCCGGAAGCTAACATGATAGGAATCTTGCACCCCCATGCAGAATTCGACTGTATGTCTAGAGTCATACTGAGCTTGTGAAGCTCCACATGTGGCTTGTGGCTTCGTTGGCCACGTGGCCAAACGTTATTTTGCGTCTGATGTTGCACAATTGCAGCGGAGATGACACAGGCTGCTGGCTATGGTAGAAAGCATACATGGATAAGCTTTCCCTAGGCACCGCAATAGCTACTGCACAACATGCTCATTTCTGTTTTTCCTTGAGCAAATGGCAGACACAGCTTTCACAACCGTATGAAATTCATGCTATGAATCTATGTCGAATTCAGTTGTTGTTTGTGACATCTGTTTGATTGATCCAGGAAATTCTGCCTTATCTTCGTTTGCCGACATTGCTCCAGCCTGACGATCATTTACTGGCGAACATGAGCACTATGTGCTTTTTCCTTTTCGTTTGATGGCTGCTCATGCTTGACTCACTGCATGGCATGACACACGAAGCAAACTGTGTGGGACTGTGCAGGGTTGCTGATGGCGGCGGGCGTCCCCCAACTGGTTGGCTCTCATCGGGGTCGATTGCTTACCAGGGCGTCACGGCTTCATATCGGCCGGGCCTCGACCCTGTCCTTCGTGACTTGACTTTCAAAATCCCTGGTGGCTCATCTGTGGGCATCGTCGGAAGGACGGGCTCTGGAAAGTCGTCTCTTATGCTCACGCTCTACAGGTGAGCCTGTGCTCCCCGCGGTGGCGGTTTACGTCCAGTTCTGGGCAGAAATGGTCTCGGATGGGCGCAGCAACGTGGCCTCACGCCCGCCTGGGATGGAGGCGGCCACTCAAGCTCTGTTGTTTGGACACCGACGCAAATGCAGTCTCGCTGATGTGAATTCACAAAACACATGGCGCTGTGAACTCATTCTTGCAAACTGTCTTCACTCGGACTACGCAGTAAACTGTCGCCACCCGTACTCGTAGTGTTGCAACATAATCGGGGAATGCTGGCTGTCTACACGAATATTCCTCGTCGCGCAGTTTCCCGCGTGACCCTCCATGGAAATCACTGTTCATGTGCTGCAAAGGTTAATTGACATCAACGGAGGGCAAATCCTGTTCGACGGGGTGGACACCTCAAAACTAGGCATCGACGCTGTTCGAGACCAGGTGGCCATCATCCCGCAGGATCCGGTACTCTTCAGTGGGTCGCTGCGCTCGAACCTCGATCCCTGGGACAGATACACAGACGCACGGGTGTGGGAGGTGTTGTCCACCGTGCGCCTCACCAGCACCGTGCAGTCTGCTGGCGGCCTGTACTCGTCCGTCACGGAGTGCGGCGGAAACTTCAGTGCCGGCCAGAGGCAGCTCATGTGTTTGGCCAGGTGAGCATTGCTCTCCAGTCACAGGTAGACAGCGGCATTCTGCGATGCTAACAGCGATGCCATGTGACACTTACGCTAGGAAAAACGGGCCAAATAACACGTGCTCAAACGTGTACAAAGTTGACGGGTTTGTGTTATTTTTGTGTTCTTAGCGTGCAGAACTTTGATGAAATGTGTTGTATGTGTGTTCGCAAAAGTGTTATTTTTTCATTTTTTTGCTAGTGTTATTGATGGCATCGCAGTTGCCTTCATGCCATCGCAGCCACTGTCACGGCGCCACTTTTTGCCAATTTCGCATAGCAATTGGCATCGCCACAATGCTGTTTATGTTGTGAATTCTCACGTCACTGAGAGGCTTCAAGATTCGCTACTGAATCTTCAGAACGACAAAGGTCGGCTCTCGTAGCATGGCACAGTGACATGCTGGCACCACGATAGTGACGTGGATTGATTGCACGGCGCCTTCATGAAGGGCAGATATGTAGCTGCATGATGATGGTTTCTGCGGGGAGGATCTGAGGCGAATGTTATGCGGCTGATGTGTCGTGAGTTTGGTCTAGGATCCCGCATATTGGAAAAATGGGGTGGGTTTCAAACGCGACGTAGGTCGGGCGCTTGCATCATTTGATCCTACTCCTGCTGTTTCGCTTTGCAAGTGAGACGTTTCGTTGCCATGACATCAGGGGGTAGTGTGCGCAATGACGTGCATGCAGTGTTAAACACAAAGGGCTAGCTCGGTACCCGTATTTGCTTGCAATGTCAGGGCTATCCTGACAACGAATTTTGCGAGTATGAACATGGTTGGCATTGTGGGTCATGTCCTGGCCTCGTGGCGCTAATTGGTGATCTTAAGCAGGGCCCTTTTGAAGGACGCACGCATCCTAGCACTCGACGAGGCCACCGCGAATGTGGATCAGGACACAGATGCGCTGATTCAGGCGGCATTGTCGTCATGTCGCGGGGGAGCGCAGGGCCGCCGCACGCTCCTCATTATAGCCCACCGGGTGGACACCGTCATAGACTGCGACCACCTCCTGGTCTTGGATCACGGGCACTTGATCGAGCAGGGGGCGCCGCGGGATCTGCTGCAGGAAAACGGCAGCGTTTTCTCCAGGATGGTCGGCGCCGCGAGGGGGGCATGGGTCGCCAGCAGCAGCAGGGACACGACTGCATGACAAGGGCTGCAGCGGTGACGAAGGCAGGCAGGGTCGAGGCTTGACGAACCCTGACTGGGGATCGCGGGCTTGAGCCCTCGGCAGTGGTTTGCAGCCGAGCAAAGGGACAACAGGAATTCTATCTTTTGTATCCAGTCCGTTCACCAATGTCCTTAATGCAATCCTAATGCCTTATCATCTTTGTGTGCGTCCAGTTGTTAATGACACTCAATCAGTGCTAGTTGTAACACTGGCAATCAGGATAGGGGGATTGGCGGGTGACTTTTGCAAATGGAATTTTGCGAATTGGAGGAATTTGATTTTGAAGAACACATTGTTTGCGTGGGGGGATTGTTGGGGACGCGGCTGTGACAGATGTACTGTGGGGAGATTTTGCAGGCTTTGGTTTTCATCTCGGCATGAGTTTACGGAGTTCGTTGTTCTTGATGTCCGCAAAAAGTGAGCCCCTCAGGTTCCCGCTGAGATGTTGGGCTGGATTTCTTACAATTTATTCATGAATGCATTTCATTCAAAAAGGGTGTGTCACGCAACTCACATTTCCGCAGTGGGAACAAGCCACAGGGGTGCTAAGGCGGACTGACGGGGCGGGCCAACGGGGGCCATACCTCCCCGGCGGCCCAAACAGCGGCCAGCAACTGGTAAGACTTTCAGCTGTGGTGCTTCAGTTGATCGCAGGTACAATGTGGTGTCTTTGTTCTGTGGGCCAGGCTGCCACGTGCTGTTCTGCCCACCTTGTGAGCCTGAATGTGTGGCGAAAGTTTTTTTATCCTGCATGCTACTGATTACCAACTTGGTTGTTTGTCTTCAGCCCCTAGCCTCGCAAAATGGGAATGAATGCCATTTGGGGCAAATGTTAGGCCATCGGGGGTGCGCATAGAAAATATCATTTGTTGCACAGTGTTAAGCCTCAGATGATCTCAGATAATGTGCTGGACATGTAAGGGAAGACGCTATGTCGATTTTGGTGCGCTTAGCGTCAATTTGACGTCAAGCTCAGCCCCTACCCCCCACCCCCACCCCCACCCCCACCCCCACCCCCACCCCCACCCCCACCCCCACCCCCACCCCC